CTGATACTGAAGGTATAAAACTTGGCAGTTGGTGAGAAGATTTACTTAATTTTAATGTAAAGGCGTCAGATACCTAAAATGAAAGGCTGACGTCTGATCGTTTTTAATTGTAAATTTTTACCTATTGTTATACGTTTTTTATGAAGTGATTTCTTCAAACCGATGTAAAAGGCTACTTCTGTGGTGTGTGAAAAAGGATGAATTGATAGACTCAAAAATTAAATAATTTTTTGTACATAGTCTGAATCTCTAATTAATAATTAGAAGAAAAATATCCTGAGCTCATCATGAAATTGTAACTACATGCAAATCAAAGATAGCTCGTATCCACCACTAGAGGGCTTGAACCTGATACTGAAGGTATAAAACTTGGCAGTTGGTGAGAAGATTTACTTAATTTTAATGTAAAGGCGTCAGATACCTAAAATGAAAGGCTGACGTCTGATCGTTTTTAATTGTAAATTTTTACCTATTGTTATACGTTTTTTATGAAGTGATTTCTTCAAACCGATGTAAAAGGCTACTTCTGTGGTGTGTGAAAAAGGATGAATTGATAGACTCAAAAATTAAATAATTTTTTGTACATAGTCTGAATCTCTAATTAATAATTAGAAGAAAAATATCCTGAGCTCATCATGAAATTGTAAGTTCTTTCTTGTTTAATATTTCAAGAATAAAATATTTTTGTTTTATATAAAGAACTTTCATCAGACAAATTGGCAGATTAAATGCATAATTATATATATTAAGTATTTGTTAACTTTTACAATATAATAAGGTCAAAATTAAAAAAAAAATTAAAATGAATGACAAAACTGAAATAAAATCCATTGGTTTAATAATTTATAATTTGTGAAAATGTAAAAAGCTATTTATTTCCATTTACACACAAGAAAACTTTACATAATGTGCATGTTGAATATAATTTTGATGTGTATCAATATCACATGGAATTTTTTTTAATAAAAGATTATCTATTTATTTATATATAAGTCTTCTATCCATATTAACTATTAAAATGTTAAACACATTCATAAATGTATAAAGCACAATGTAGAAAATATAAATTTCTTACATTTACAAAAAAAAATTCTCTGAGGCCTGCTGGCACTCATAAGTCCCAGACATATTTTGATCTCATGCAGCTTGCGTATCATTAATTCTAAAAACATAATACTTTGAAATCAAACTAAACAGATCTAAAATATATATTAAAAAATAAAATGACAGTTAACTCGGAAACAATAAGTAGAATTTGGCAACAAAGAAAAGAATATCAGTCACTATTATTCAAATGACATATGATGTGAAGATTTTTTCAACAAAACTAAAACAGGAACAGTTTGAAAGTTACTACCCTATAGAAGAGAAAAAGGAACACTTCATACAATGAAAAAAAAAACATAAGTCCCAAACAGCTATAATGTATACACAATAAAATAAAAAATATCAAATATTGTGAAAATACAAAGTCCCGTCAGGCAATAAAAAGTTAAGGGACTATTTCTAGTTAACGTGCAAATAAAAGCACATACCGGAAAACAGAAAACTGCCTTGTTAACGAAGTAGACAGACCAAACAGTAAATTGTCCTATACAAATCAACTAATTGTCAACATTAAATGTCATTAAATACAGCAAAAAATTATCATCATTTATTTATACAATTCAAATTTATGTTATTCTTTTCATTATTGCGTTTTGTTATTTAGGGCAGGTAATCAATTGTCTTCGTACTTTTCCACTTATTTGTTAATAAATTAACAGACAATAGACCTTGTTAAAAATTCAAAACAAAATACATTTATCTTTAATGGTGTTTTGTTTTGCCTTTTCAATAAAATCTTTTTTCTGTTCAAAAACTTCATGAATAGAATAAATCCAATTAATTAACGATGTTCAAGTAGACAATACATATTCAGAAATGTAAAGCAGTGTAAACATAGAGATAAGAAGAGTAGTTTTAAACCTTTATATTTATTCTGTGATATTTGTCTTTAAGCTTGCACGATCCGAGTTGAAATGACTTCTGTAACTATAACTAAGTTGTGTGAATACCATTATCTGGATAAAGACGTAGTTTATTAGCTGAAATGTAACAACAAAATACTATAAGTTACGAATATAAATAAATAAGACAATTATTAATTTTTTACAACATTTAAAACAATAAAATCTGTTCATTTTAATGAACAATTTCATTTTATCCATTGTTCAACAAGTACTCGATTTTTTAAATTAATTTCTGTCTGTTTGATTAAACTTACTTTTATAATAAACATCTTATTGAAAATAAAGAACTTGTTACAACTCATTCCGTCCTTTGTACTTTTCTGAATTTGAAGCAGGTTCAAGATCTATATTAAATTTCAATTGTTAATCACATGTATGTACAGTACTTTAATATCATTAATTTAAACTTGTAAATGTAATCTAACCTTTAATTCTGAATTCGAATCGATCACTTGAAAGTAGAGTGATATCAACAAATTCCACATCTTGGATAACTACACAAACAATAAACTTTTATCATTATTTCATTTATTTAAACATATGACAGTACTAGATTATAGAAATATTAATACTTACTTCTACAGATAAAGGAACAAAAACTGAAAGAAAGAAAACAAGAAGAAAAAATAACGAAAGAAAAACAATACAAAAGACGAATACAATATAAGTAGGACCATCCATAAAAAGAATTGCGTATAAACCGGGAATGGCTTCACATATAATAGCTAGTATTATTTCCATATTAATTGCCCCAATCATGCGATCAACAATTTTAATTAAATTATATAACATTATTCCTTTCTGGTGGATAATAATGACATCTTTGGTTGATTTTAATTTCTTTCATGCGTCTCAGTTAAAAAAGAACGTTTAACATGCGTAATAACGCGAATTATTGTGTATTCAACATATGCGAGTATTACTATAATTCCTAACATATATCCAAGAAGAATAGCAACAGCACCATAACAGCAACAAAATATATCAAAATCGTTCCATATCTGTTTTTTCCTGTATCTTAAATACATATATGCATTTATGAAAATAAAATAAAAATTAATGTAACTAGACAAGCAATAGAATATAGCTTTTTTATGATATTTTGGATCGTCCATTTTTAAGTCAGATGAAAAACGAGCAAACGATTCAAGTATATTTAAAAATTTATGGAAATTGTCAACGAAGGTTGGAGAATTAAGAAGATATAAGTAAACTGATATCGAAATATTCATGCAGATAACGATTAAATTCAGAATTTTTGATATATTTTGAGGGAATGAAATTTCACAATAATGGATTTCGTTCTCTGATTTTTTCACCACTGCCAGTATAGTTTGATACAAAAATGAATTTAACGCAACGTATATTATAAATCGATAATATACTTTAAATTTGTTTTCTGGTGAATTTCTCATGATATTAATTCCGAAAAATTGAGCCAGGTTTAAAATTGCATAAAAATAGTCACCAAAAATATCTCTTAATTCTTCTCCTATCATTTTAAAGTACGTGATATTCTCGAAAATAACTGCTGTACTGTACCTATTCATGAAATTACTTGCACGAAAACAATTGACGCTATAATAATAAAAATATTCCATTAAAACTGTTATCCTCTATATTTTATATTACGAGTGTATGTGAGTAAACAATCCATTAACTTGAAGGACATTATAATAATAAATTTTCCATTACTGTACTTAGTTTACCTAGCACTAATTTTAAAAATTAGGCTTTTAAGCTAGTTGTCGATATACAACTACTTGCCATATATCTTCATACAGCTGTTACATAAAATCAGGGTTGGCAAATTAATTTTTTTTAAATAAAACAATAATACACGTGTCATTTAGAATCCTTTGTTTTTTGTTTTAAAGCAGTTTTATATTACGTTATGAAATACTGTTTTAAAACAATGTTTTAAGTTTAAAAAAAATGTTTTATTACATAAATTTAGTAAATAAACTTTTTCTGACTTGTGAACTAAACGTGAACGTGGGAATGAGAAATTTGTCTCACTATCGTGGGTCAAAAAAGCACGTGACACGTGACTTTTATCCCTAAGAGGAGATATCCTGACAGCACATGCCAGTTAATGCTGTTAGCAATACAGCTAATGTATTGTAATATTACTTGGATGGAAAAAGACATTATTATTATCGTTGTTACTTGTTAAGTAAAAAATGAGTGCAAGAAGAAGACTTGATAATATCTGGAATCAGTACAAAATAATTTCTGGAAATTCAAAAAAGCCGGCATGCAGGGCGCAATGCAAAATATGTAGGAAATAAATGGCTGGATTAGTCGCTCGTATGAAAAAACATATTGAAGTTAGCTACCTACAGGATGATATACAGGAATCGCAACAGCTGGGTGAGTATTTTGAACCATTATAAGTTTTAATTTTTTTTTTTTTAGTTAGCTATAAAGTTAACTGGGTCATAACTCAATTTGTACCTATATAAATATTCTTAAGTTCTGCCTGAGTTACATAATTCTGTCCTCCCGGGCAGTTTACATAGTGTTACGAAAAAATTTTATTAATTACTTTTGCCGCGAAAGTTTTTTATAACGTTTTATTAATTAGCTTATTAATTGCCTCATTGTTTTAATAAGAGTTTTAATAAGAGTTTTTTAATCAAATTAATGAAATTGTTCTAAACTTTTACACGGCCGTTTTGACTTCGGTAAACTTTTTTAAAATACTATTGGATGATTTTTATGACATCACCGGCTGTTTTTGTTTTTTATTCCGTATACTTGTATATATATATTCTTTTTTTCAGTTTTTCCCCATTTTAATAGCATAAAAATCAGAAATTTTGTTATACTGTCAACTGTCAACTGGTTTGTAAACAATGTAGACTGCACGTGTGAATTTTCATGCCTGTCAAATGAAAGAATAACAATCCCTTTCAGCTATATTTATCAAATAACAACATTTTTTGATTATTTTAAATTTTTAATACAGTTTTTCTATAAAAACACGTATTTTTAAGGTATTTATTCCCGCAAATAGTTCGTCTGTCAGACTAGCTTTTACGTGGAAATAATTATTTAATATAAAAAAAATCAATAGATTAAAAATTTTCCGAGCGGAAATTAATTAAACCTTGGAAACTAAAATCAATAGTATACAATTAATGTCATAATCATTATGAACTAAACATACAAGTGTGTAAATTATTAGACTCATGCATAAAGTGTATTATTTTTGGTTCTTATCCTAAAATGTATGATTTTATATTGCACTGGTCCGACTTCAATCTAATAATTTTCACACCTCTGTATATAGTAGTAATTTTTAAAACATACACCTAATTAGTAATTAATTTATTTTTTTTATACTTACTATTTAGAATGGCAGGAGTCAGAAAATCAGGAGCCTAAGTCTGAGACCAGTGGGAAGCGCTCCGCTATCACTTTTGGCTCCACTAGTTGCACTGGCAACTGTATTTCAAAGCAAAGTAAAATTGCAACGCATTGATTCATTTATTGTGAAAACGTCAGCTAATAAAAAAAAAAAAAAATGTAATTGGATCTCCAATGCGCAAAATCTATATATGCCACCAATTCAGCCTTTATTCGTTTAGAACACCCCGAATTTATAAAGTTTTGTCAGATGTTGCGACGTGGATATGAGCCTCCACAGTGAAAGAAAATTGGGAGTCCCTTGCTGGACACTGTATACAATTCCATTGAGAATGAATCAGCTGATGAGTTAAAGGATATTACCGTCTGTGTGGCTATTGATAGGTGGAGTAATATCCATAATGAACAAGTGATCTCTGTTTGTCTGACTGATCCTAATGGAACAGTTCATGTGATTGACTCAGTTGATACAGGCGCAGAAAAGCACATATCAAACTTCTTAGAAATTATTACAACTGCAGCAATAAAGAAAAATGCAATCAAAAGTATGGCTGTGAAGTAAGAAGCCTCGTAAGTGACAATGCAAGCAATATGAAAAAAATGAGAGAAACATTAGCAATGACAGAATATTTAGATTTTTTCACTTATGGAGGCTCTGCTCATATTTTAAACTTACTGACTCAAGAAATCAATATGAAAGCGGTTAATGAACAAGTTAAGCACATCATTGTATACTTCCGGAATCATTATTTTCCGAAAGCCAAATACAAAGAGCAGGTGGAAAAGGATTAATATTACCACAGGATGTACTTGGAACAGCTTAGCTGATTGCTTAGAGTCATACATTAAGAACTGGCCTATTATGACGAAGGTACTATCATTACTTTAAGTTGTTTTTACTTCCTTATTTTTTACTGTGGAGAAAGTCACTAATTCATAAAGCATATACTAGTTATGTTGAAATGTGATTACTTATACTAATATAGTAATAATATACTTAGAGTAATAATAATGAGATAAAACATATGATTATTTTGTTTCGTGTACTGACTGTTTACTCTAATGCTAGTTAACTCTATTCATGTACTCAATGAGTATTGAATGATAAGTATGAAGTGTTTAATCTTGACAACCGTTACAAATTTTATGTTAACAGGTGTGCGATAAAAACAGGCTCGTAATTCACAAGGATATTCTAGCCAAAACCTTGAAATTAAGCGTGATGCTGGAGATTTGCTGACACGTTTAAAGATCGTTGCTGTTGCATTAGACAAAATGTAAAGAAATGACTGCACAATCAGTGAAGGAATTGAATTATGGTTTGGGTAAGTTACATTAGCCAGAATTGTTTTTGAAATCAATCTAATTTTAAAATTGTGTTCATTAAATTCATTAATTTTATACGTCTAATGATATTATTAATTTTATAGTGTTCAAAATGACTTGCAACAACTTGGAATCACTGGAGTCACACAGACAGCCAAAGATAAATATGGCTGTCACAGACTATCACTTTTTAGCAAATCTTATGAACCCAAGATACCAGGGTGCAAAGCTCACAGACAGTATGAAAAATGCTGCACTAACTGTGTGTTACACTCACTACCCAGATGCTATGCCTTCAGTTTTAAAATACTTATCAAAAACTAGCCCATTTCTTCAATACATGTTTGCAGAGTCTGTGCTAAGTAATATCACTTTAGTTACATGGTGGCAGTCACTACCTGACAGAGTTGATGAACCTCTTTTAAAATTAGTTACACAGCTGCACACAGCAGTGGCTTCTTCAGCGGGAATTGAGAGAATTTTCTCTACTTATAGACTTGTTCATTCAAAACTTAAAAATCGACTTGGACAGGAAAAGGCAGCAAAGCTTGTTAAAGTTTTCAAGCACCTAAACAAACACTACTGAACGTTGCACATTTCTGAAAATAAGAAATTGTTTAAAGTGAAGAAGCCACTGCTGTCAATCCTGTTTTGGTTTCGTACATGCAAATCTTAAAAATGCCATTTTATAAAGATACATTTTAAAAAACTGTATTTTATATTAAATAAAACATTCTGTACATTTTTTAGTCTTACACTGAAGTTTTTTTGCCTTTTTCCTATTATAATAGATCCCAGTGTCTTTTTTCCAAAAAAAACCGTGTTTTAAATGTTTTAAAACATTTGTTTTAAAAACACGTTTTAAATCCGATGCCTATGTTTTAAATCATGCCAACTCTGCATAATATGATAACTGTATGAAAGTGAGTTTAAAAATATGTTCTATTTCGCGCAAAAACGCAAAA